CTCCACGCCCTCTGCCAATCTCCCCGGGAGGAAAATCCCTCCCCGGCCCCAAAAGTGGCCATCAGTAGAACCCCGAGCATGTAGGCAAGAGTCTCCAGTCAGACCCTCATTGGCCATTATACTATTTACCAGCGATGGCACACTGTTCCTTTGACTAAAATCATATTATCCCATTAAACCATTCCCTCCATAAACTTATCTAGCTTAATCTTAAACCAGACAGATCCTTCGCCCCCACCGTTTCCCTCGGAAGGCTGTTCCAATATTTCACCCCTCTGACGGTCAGAAACCTTCGTCTAATTTCAAGCCTAAACTTCCCCACGGCCAGTTTATATCCATTCGTTCTCGTGTCCACATTAGTACTGAGCTGGAATAATTGTAGGAGTCCTGATCCAAAAAGGACTTGTGTGGGGGTGGGGGTCGCAAGATTATTGTCTGGGGGTGTGTGGTACTGCTACCCTTCCTTCTGCGCTGCTGCTGGCGGCGGCACTGCCTCCAGAGCTGGGCAGGTGGAGAGAGACGGCTGTTGGCCAGGAGTCCAGTTCTGAAGGCAGAGTCACCGCCAGCAGCAGCGCAGAAGTAAAGATGGCAGGTACGGTATTGTCACCTTTACTTTTGCACTGCTGCCTGCAGAGCTGGGCCCTCAGTCAGCAGCTGCCATTTTCCAGCCACCCAGCTCTTAAGATAGCAGTGCAGAAGTAAGGGTGGCATGGTATGGTATTGCCATCCTTACTTCTGCACGGCTGCTGGTGGGGCATCACCTTCAGAGCTGGCCACCTGGCCAACAGCTGCCACTCTCCGGCCACCCAGCTCTGAAGGCAGTGCAAGAAGTAAGGGTGGCAATACCACAACTCTCCCTAAAATAACCTTGCAATCCCCTTGCAACTCCCTTTTGGGTCAGGATGCCCCAATTCTCACCTGTGAAATCTGTATAGTATAGGGTAAAAGCAAATAAAAGACAAGATTTCATGGGGGAAGACCAGATTTCATGGTCTGTGATGTGTTTTTCATGGCTGTGAATTTGGTATGGCCCTATTCATAAGAATGGCCCTACTGGGTCAGACCAAGGGTCCATCTAGCCCAGTATCCTGTCTTCCAACAGTGGCCAATGCCAGGTGCCCCAGAGGGAATGAACAGAACAGGTAATCATCAAGTGATCCATCCCCTGTCGCCCATTCCCAGCTTCTGGCAAACAGAGGCTAGGACACCATCCCTGCCCATCCTGGCTAATAGGAAACATTTGTGCGGAGAACACCGGGCACAAATCATGTCCAGTAGCAATCAGTTCAGTTAAAAGCATTTGCTTTACTAATATGCCGTGCATGACTCCAAAAACAAACCTAGAGAGGAAATCATTGTATTGCAGTGTACTGAGGGAAGGGGTGTTTGCTCACCATTTTTCCCTGGGATTTTCTCTAAGAGGTTGAGCAGGATTTGATTAAGTCTCTCTCTCTGAATATGCCGCCTTTCCTCTGGAGTGCACAGTTGCCTTGTGACAGAGTCACTTTCCTCCACCTTTTTGTCATTCTCACAGCCCTCACTAGAGACTGCCTCTCTCTCTGGCTCTTCCAGGCTGCGCATCTCATTTGAAGCTTGTTCTTGGCTTGCTAGCACATCCTCAATGAGTGGAAGAGGATCTTCTTCTTGGTTCAGGTCTTTGATCTGTGGCTTTGAGCGGTCTGTCTTCCACGATGATCTAGCAGGGAGAGAGAGGTTTAAAGATCATAGTTTTGGAGACACTTGACAGAAAGGTCAATTGTCAATGAGTCAGCAACCCCAGCTGTGGAGGGGCTTATTAATTTTCTATGGTTTGGAGCCAATCACACAGTAGAATCCATGAAGGGGAAATCTGCAGCCAGACACAGTAATTATAAAGCATGAGAGGCAATGCCCATAGCATTAGCTTACCTTGCAAAGCTGCAAATGTTATTGCACATTTCCTGGGTTACTTCTGCATATTTAAAAAATAAATATAATTCTCCTACTACCCTGAAAAATTATTTTTTCCCCCCAAGTGCCTAAGCTCAGGATCCACTGAGAACTTTCTCTCTAATCTTCAACAGTCTTGACTAGTGTTTTTAACCCCCCAAATGGCATAAGACTGTGGGATCTCTGAGAGCCTCATCCTGATGTCAATCTGCATCACCCTCTGTTTAGGGATCTCTAGTGGCTATTCTGCCTTTGCAGTGGTGGGCCCTACAGCTCCCATGACACGTCTCAAACTGCTTCTGCCCACTTTCAAGAGCACCTAACCCCCCTCTCTTTCTGCAAATGTGTTTTAGGAGGATTGCTGCTGGCTCCATATTTATTACTGTTCCCTGTCACTCGTATCTGTTTGAATTTTGAGCAGGTTGTTTTTAATTACTCGGCTTTACTGTTTTTACAGCATCTCAAGGGTATTGATAGGGCATGGGTGGTTTACAAATAAAAACAACTATCCCACCTCTTTCACTAAAGAACAACTCAGTAGGTAGGACTCACCTGCCTCCATTTCTCTTGTAGTTGTCTGGTACATAATGAGGCTACAACAATAATAAAGGTCACAGTTAAACAAAGCACTAAGAGCTCACCATTGGACAGTATAAAAATATCACAAATTAAATCCAATGTAGAAGGAAGAGCTGGCCTGCCTCATGCATTGGACTTTAGTGGCTTAGGAAAAGGAATTGAGACCCATCATGATAAATACAGGGTGAAGGCAGAGAACTAATCACCCCTTAGGACCAGTCCCTATTACTCATCTCTTAACACTGCAACCCTCTAGGTCTCCTGGGTAAGTTTAAAAATCAGTGGGATATTTTGCTATAAAACACTCCTATTCAGAGAGCCTGATTTTCCCTCTGTAGGAATATGGAAAGAACCTCTAGATCAAATACAAGAGCTCGCTGCTCCTGAGGAGGAGAAACAAGCTCAGCTATGAAAGCTCTGCCAAGTCAGGTGCTTCTGAGCTTGGGGACTAAGCTGCTGACACTGCTAGGGGAAGGGGTGTGTACAGGGAGCAGCTAGTATTTCCAGGGAGTGGGGTGGTGAGAGAGACAGGAAAATGTGAAGGTATCAATGCTTGAGATAGGGAGAGGCACTGCACTCCATGGTCTGGTAGCCTATCTGGAGTTCTCTTTTTGATAAGAGACATGTCTTTTTCAGTGCTGAAGGTCAATGCTATGCAATTTAATGGCGCTGAGAGAGAAAATTTGAAATTACTCTTGTTCTCTTGAGAACCGTTGTTTAGGGTTGGCTGCTCAAAACAACTTTTAGCAGAGCCACGGACTTGGGATAGTTAGACACAGAATGTGAGATGCGCTTACACTGTAAGCAGTTCGGGACAGGGAGCAAGTCTCTAAACAAATTAATGTTAATAATGTTACTATTAATATTCAGAGGGGTAGCCGTGTTAGTCTGAATCTGTAAAAAGCAACAGATGGTCCTGTGGCACCCTTAAGACTAACAGAAGTATTCGAAGCATAAGCTTTCGTGGGTAAGAACCTCACTTCTTGCATCTGAAGAAGTGAGGTTCTTACCCACGAAAGCTTATGCTCCCAATACTTCTGTTAGTCTTAAAGATGCCACAGGACCCTCTGTTACTATTAATATTAACGCCCAGGAGTACAAAGCCAGCACAGACAGGGTAACTGTGGGGCTATTTTCTGTGAAGTTCACTGAAATATGAAAATGTGCTGCAACTGCTGAATTGTTGCTTGAGTCAAGGTTCAAGTTGTCTCCAGCCAGGAAAGTCCTTGGTGAAAGCAGCACTGGGGTTTCTGTTGGAAACCAGGATGTTCGGCCTTACACATCTCCATTCGTTCTAAGTGCATTTGCCTGAGAATTGGCAATGGTCTGCCTGCAATCAATTTTCTTTTCAGATTATTTTCTGATCAACTTTCTATCCAGTCTGAGTGTAATGTTAACATGTCAGTTCTCCTTGGTTTACCAGGTTTCATTCAGAAGCAGGGAGGCAAGAGTTTTCCAAGACTGTGTTCTGTCTTATATTAAGAAACTGAAAGGTCATTAGAAGAGACACTTACTGAGAAGTCTCTCTTGGGTGTGAGTTTCTTGGGGAAGTGGTCAAAGGCATACGGCTTGGTGCAGACAGGATAGCGATTCCGGTGGATTTTATAGAAGAGGTGGGCTGATTTATCAAGGCGGTAATCACAGATATACACATCCTGCTCCTTCACTCCTTTTGGCCTCCCTGCAGTTACAGCAAAAACCAAAGTACATATAGCATTCCAGGACAAGAACAAACAGCATACACTATGGTATAGAGATTTATTGTGAGCACTTACACTGAAGTCCCAGCTACTCTTGTTCTACTCAATTCAGATTCGTAACAAACAGGGGAATCTCTAATTCAATTTAAGAAAGAAACTTCCTTGCTCTAATCCCACTATACACCCATCCACATGTACAATATATGAAAAAACTAATGAGTAGAGAAGGAAAATGCAAGGAGGTGGGGCTGAGGAGAGCTGATGTGAAGGGTAAAGAGGAGGAAGGGAGCATTCTCTATTGTAAGTGTTTATTTTCTCACCGAATAAAGCCTGCTTACCTTTACAGTAGGTATAGAGGTCCAGCACACAGCAAGTCCCCACCACAGCCTCTAAGGGGATAATCTCATACAGTGGCACCCGGAACAGCTCATTGTGATAAAACCTTCGGGAAGGGGAGTGGTGGGTTTCATGTGGACGGAAATAATGATGACCAAATGCAAACCGCTCCTCTCTGTTAAAAGGTGTGAGAGACAGAGAGACTATTTCCCTTGAGCTGTGGTTTTGACTTCACTTTATGCCCTATATTCACCACTTTTTTTGAGTTATCTATATTGCCCTTTTAGCATTGGTTATGACCACAGACAAGGTCACATCAATGAGCCTTGTGTTTTCTTGTTTACCCCTTCAGCAAATACCAATTCCAGTCTGATCTCTAGATCTTGTGTCATTAAAAAATAACCTTTTCTTTACACTATTTAAAGAAGACGATTGCAAGTAATTCTATTTTCGGCAGATACCCAAAATGTCTTGAGTGCAGAAGGTGCCTTGAACATACTTTTCATTTTTCCAAAGTTTTTCTATGCGGAAGATATCAAGTTTCTCCCTGTTAATGTGGGATAGCAGCCGGTAGGACTGCCGGACAGGGTGCCCATCTGGAGTTCTTCGGCTGTCTCTCATCAGATATACGCAGTCACCTGGCAATAGGCACAAGAGACACATCCTGTAAAGAACGTCTCGTGTGACACAGTGGTCCAAAAACAGAGAAGAGGCTGGTTTAGTTAAAACAATAACATGACACAGCTGCCCCATATTTAACTCTGAAAGAGTAAAATACAACTAATGCAGAGCCAGTGAACAAGGGTCAGATTGCATTGGTCTCCTTCATGACACATTCTTCTAGCAGAGAACGAAACATAACTTGAATTTTATGTCCCCAGCCAAAAATGGCGACACAGATTCATTGATTCCAAGGCCAGAAGGGACCTCTGTGATCAGGGGTTTGACTTTCTGCATAACACAAGTATAGAACTTCCCCAAAGTAATTCCTAGAGCATATCTTTTAGAAAAACATCCACTCTTGATTTCAAAATTTTGGGCGACAAAGAATCAACCATGACCCTTGGTAAATGGTTCTAATGGTTAATTACCCCCACTGTGAAACAGTTACTCCTTACACCCAGTCTGAAATTGTCTAGTTTAAACTTCCAGCCATTCGATCACGTCATACCTTTTTCTGCTAGACTGAAGAACCTATTTGTTTCCCATGTAGATACTTAATAGACTTTACTCAGGTCACTCCTTAATTATCTTTCTGTTAAACTAAACGGATTGAGCTCCTGGAATCTCTCAATATAAGGCATGTTTTCTAATCCTTTAATCATTCTCATGGCTCTTCTCTGAACCCTCTCTAATTTATTAACATCCTTCTTGAATTGTGGGCACCAGGAATGGACACAGTACTCCAGCAATGGTCACACCAGTGCCAAATACAGAGGTAAAATAACCTTTCTAGTCCTACTCGAGATTCCCTGATTTATTCTTCCAAAGATCATATTAGCCTTTTTGGTCACAGCGTCGTACTGGGAGATCATGTTCAGCTGATTATCCATCATGACCCGCAAATCTTTTTCAGTCACTGTTTCCAAGGATAGAGTCCCCCATCCTGTAAGTATGGCCTACATTTTTTGTTCCTAGATGTATACATTTAGCGGTATTAAAACACATATTTTGTCTTGCACCCAGTTTACTAAGAGATTACATGGTGCTCTGAATCAGCAACCTGTCCTCTTTATTATTTACAATTCCCTCAATTTTTAGGTTATCTCAAACTTCATAGTGAGGATTTTATGTTTTCTACCAAGTCATTTATAAAAGCATAGGGCCAAGAACAAATCCCTGCAGGATCCTACTGGAGACACACGTGACTGATGAAGATTCCCTGTTTAAAATTACATTTTGAGACTTATTGATTAGTCAGTTTTTAATCCACTTAATGTGTGCCATGTTAATTTTATATTCTAGTTTTTTTAATCAAAATGTTATGTGGTACCAACTCAAATGCCTTAAGGAAGTCTAAGTATATTATGTCAACGCTATTACATTTATCAACTAAATGTGTAAACTTATCAAAAAGATATCAAGTTAGTTTGACAGAATCTATTTTCCATACACTCATGTTGATTTACATTATTCTCTTTAAATTATTTTTTAATTGAGCCCTGTATCAGGTGCTTCACTGTCTTGCCAGGGATTGATGTCAGAGTGACAGGCCTATAATTACCTGGGTCATCTTGTTTATACTTTTAAAAATCAGATACAGCATTAGCTTTTATCCAGTCTTCTGGAACTTTCCTGATGCGCCAAGGCTTATTGAAAAATCAACATTAATAGTCCAGTGAGCTCCTTAGCCAGCTCTGTTAAAATACTTGGATGCAAGTTATCTGGACCTGCTGATTTAAAAATGTATAACTGCAGTAACTTCTGATGATGTGCTATCACCACATGATAAGACTATATCACGTTGTTTCCCCCAAATACAGAACAGAAATATTCATTGAACACTTATGCATTTTTTGCATTATTAATGATGATTCTACCATTTCTATCTAGTAATGGATCAATACCATTGTCAGTATTCTTTTTGTTCCTATATACACCTCTACCCTGATATAACGCGATCTGATATAACACAAATTCGGATATAACGCGGTAAAGCAGCGCTCCGGGGGAGCAGGGCTGCACACTCCGGCGGATCAAAGCATGTTTGATATAACACGGTTTTACCTATAACGTGGTAAGATTTTTTGGCTCCCAAGGACAGCGTTATATCGGGGTAGAGGTGTATTAAAAAACCCTCCTCATCATCCTTAACTCTGCTGGCCATAGATTTCTCCCTGTGTCCCTTTGCTTCCCTTATCAATTTTCTACAATTCTGAACTTCTGATTTATTTTCATTACTATCAACTTCCCCTTTCTTCAAATTGTGTTTTATTTTTTATATAAATAAATAAAAACAGTTGACTTCACTCACTTCTAAACTAAATTGATTTTTTTAAACCAGCACAGCCTTATTCCTCAATTGTGGCTTATTGGCGATCTATAAGGAGTTCTTAAATGATTCCCAATTATCAATCACATTTTTCTGATTAAATTCTTCCTCCCAGCTGACTGACCTCATAATTGTTTTCAGCTTTGTGAAATTCGCCCTATTAAAGCATCAAGTATATATATTACTTGTGCACTTTATTCTGCTTGCACATTATAAATGCAACCAAGTCATGGTCATGTGTACCCAAGCTACTATTAATTATTAGCTCAGTTATCAGTTCTTCTTTATCTGTTAGGACAAGGTCTAATAAAGAATACCTCCCTGTTGTTTACAATGTATGAGAAAATAAAAATAAATTATTAAAGGGGGTAGGACTGACAGCAAAAGAGGATTTGGCTAGTAAAACCTGTTATTCAAATTTGTAATCGTAACTGTAATGTTCTCTAGGCTACCTAGAGAACAAGTCATTGATGGGAAAGAAGATCAGTGATCAAAAAAGCACTAAGCCTCGGACTACTCTCACAGAACTCTAACAGGAGTAAAGCTCCTGAGAGTTACATGCAGCTCAGAGGAAATAGATTAAAGAGAGCCGAGCAAAGAGAGCATTCTTCAGAATTGTGACTCTTTGCTCAATGTAACCATGGGACCAGTGGGGGGGGGGGGGGGGGAGG